TTTTACGAAATTAAATATAATACCGATTATTTTTTTATCTCTGTAATCTCTTATTGAAACATTTAGCTAATTAAAGTCTAGCTAGAGATTTTTCCTCTATTTTCTTATTTTTTCACCGTCCTTTATTCGTTTTCATTTTTGATATTTTTTCCGCAATGTTGAGTAAATAACAATGTAAATTTATTCGCAATCATCATTTATTTTTAAGGGATTTCTTTCTTCCAAGAAATAACTTAATATATTTGCATTGTGATTATAGAATTTATTTATTAGAAAAATTAAATTACATCTAATAACTTTATGAGAATTATTAGAAATCTTTAAGAAAAAGGTTCTATAATTAAGAAAAATTTGCTGATTCTAACAATTTTCTCTCTCTCTCTCTCTCTCTCTCTATATATATATATATATTAGGTGTTGGAATTAATTCGTAGCGTTTTTTAATGAAAGAATGTTATTTATTTCACATGAGCATTAAAAAATACATTAATGAAAGTACTTCCCATCACTTGTAAAACGCTACGAATTAATTCCAACACCTAATATATATACATATATATACACACATATATATATATGGATTTAAATAGAAAATCCACTCAAAATCAGATTCGAGGAAATATTTGACGACTATCGAAGTGCTCAATTTCGGCGAGTTCACTCGTAAAATGTCCTACTCGAGAGTTTCCTCACCGAGTGTGGCAGTGAAACGAATATTTTATCGCGCGATCGCGGGCGGTAACCAACCTGCTGCTGCTGCTGATAGTAATAGTGGTGAGTGGGTGTGTGTCGGCCCATGAATTTACCGCTGACGAGGTCCAAGAGGCTCTGCCTCGAGGGTAAAACCCCTCTGGATACGTTCTCTGCACTCTTGGTGTCATCCTCTTTCTCCCTACCGCCGCCGGTCCTACCATCGCTGGACCTTCCGCTTCTGCCGTACTTTTCGCCTCCGTAGCTCAGGGCGGACGCGGAACCGCCGCTCAGACGATGTCTCACCCCGCCTGTGATGACACCTGCAACATCAAACGATGAGAGCTGTAAACGACGATTCCCTTTTAACTCGACCTACGAGACTTTCTGCTAGATATCGTTTTAGATATCTTTTTATCATTTTGAAATATTTTCTCTTTTGGTGAACATTCGCAATAACTGCGACCAATTGAAGAAATCTTTTCTGACCTTTAAGCTTTTAAAACTTATAATATAGAAACTTCTATTATTTATTGATTACATTATATTCTACAAAAAATAATTTTTTTTAAACACGAAATCGAGACAAATAATTTCACAGTTTTTTTAAACGCTGAATACAAATTCAGTTTTCAAATTGCTCCATTATGTCACAATTTTGAGAAATTGGCAGTTAAAGGAAAGGACTAAATACTTTTTTAAATACTTTAGCATATTATAACTTCGATATGTGACGTGATGAACAATTTGGAAAGCTGATTCAGCATCCAAGAAACTAGGATGCTGTAGGAAATGGCTGAAGCCATTTTAGTATTTTTTGTCATTAAATAATAACTTTTATTATATAATCTATATAATATGTTATACTTTATAAATTCTTAATAATTCTCAATCTCTTCTCTTTTATTATCATTTCTCTTATTTCTGCTTTTGCTGTTCAATATTACGTTTTCTTATTTTCTAACAAGATATTTAATAAAATTAATATGTACAGAGAAAATAAATATAGAGAGAGACAAGAAATTATTGTTATTTCAGTACAAATATTAAGAATTTTTAATGTGTGTAAGGATTCTGTCTTTCTGTTCACAATCGGATAGTTTATTATTCCCATAAGTCAAGAATTTCCTATGTAACGTAATAAAGTAAAGCATAATGTATATGAGAATAACAAAGAATGTCTGATGTGAGAATGTAGGAAATAAAAAAATCTTTTTTAGAAACTTATACTTACAATAAATTCTTTAATAAAATATAATAAAATTATAATCAATTGTAATAAATATTTAATTATATAATAAATTATAATAAATAATTATAAATTCAATTCTAATAACAATTTTGTAATAAGATTTCATTAACATTCATAAAGGATTCGTAAAAGAGCCATTAAAATGTTTGATTTTAAAATTCGTAACGTATAATCTTCTCTCGTTTATTGTCTTCAAATTTTCTGTTAAATATTCCTTGTTAAATAGATAATCCGAATTTACGTCAGAAATAATGCTGTCTCGGCACATTCAAGGCCAAGCACTGTAAATCTCATTGGAAATGCGAGAGGAGAAATAAGCAAGTTTCCGCGGAGATGGAGCATATCCTAGTATTATCTTCGTTCGCGATGACACCTGCAATGTCAAAGAGACTGCAACGAAACGGCACAAGCCCCGTTTTCTTGCAGCACGAGATTATGGCTCATCCACTTTTGCTAGATAGTAACGAGGCGTGACATGATAAGGGCACAAAATCCGTGCGGAGAAAGCTCGCGTTTCGCTCCTGTCGTCCCATGAATCCGTTTAACAGGGAATAAATCTCGATGGAAAAAGTTATCGGGCATTGTCAGATAATTTTCTCCCTGTGCAAAATGCTGTGATTTGTTCTTGATCGAGTAAAAATTCTTTTATATATTCCGGCAATTCTCGTATTATATCTATAGCTGCAAAAGTATGAACAGATCAATACTGTATCGTGTTACATCTTTGTATTATAAGCACGAAAACATTAATTTTGCTAATCAACACGGGACAACATTTAAAACTTTTTGTTTTTACACACCTAGTATAAATGACGGCTTTGTAAATCGCTTGGCATAATAATGGCTTATAAACATCTGACGAGAGAGAGAGAGAGAGAGAAAGAGAGGGATCAGATGGAAAGAGAAAGATCAGATTCGCATCGTCAAAAGAGAGCCGGATGAAAGAAAATGAGGAAAAGGGTGAGAATAATTAAATAAAAGACGAATGAAAATACGTGACCGAGACCTACTGTATAAAAGTAACAAAGTGTTACTCGAGAAACGTCATAACGAGATTCCTGCTCTCCGGAGCTGTTTCGCAAATAATCTCGTGCTCGCGCGCCCGGCGTCCTCCATTAAGGTGCTGGAGAAAAACGATCGCAAGAAAATCTGCGCCGGCGTTCTCTTCATTACCCTCCTCTGTTATTTTCCCATTAATGCGATGTAAAATGACACTACGCAAAACAAGCAGCGGAGAATTTCATCGAATACGCTGACGTCAAACGAACGTGAATTTATTTTTAATAATGCCAAAGAATGATGCCTTCTGAAGTTTATTTTTTCAAGTGCCAGAAAAAATAATTATTTAACGCGATTAATTAATTTACAATTATGGGCTAATTATTTAATAAATTCCAGCTAATTAATCTATTTTTATTTGACCAACTTTCAAAACGCGACAAGACGTTAAAAATGCAATTTATTTCTTTTATTATGTTGTTTTTGAATATAGAAAGAATATTTTATCAAAGAATAAATAAATATAATTACATATAAATGACAAATGATTTCAATTAAAGCTCCTTGTTAAGATCTCACATTCGAGAGAAAGTACATAGTTTAGTGGGTATAAAAGTAATTGCTTTTTGGCTCTCAAGAGGATTAATAGGATAAGTTTCAAAGTAAAGAAGAACTAAGATAAATTTAAGTACTTAGGGCTAAAGACACGTAGTATAAAAAATTGAAAAATTGCATTATTTATTGATCATGTTCGTTATTATTATAAATAAAATTGATTATAATTTCACATTAAGAAATCTTAATTTTAAATTGTCATCAATGTTTTTAATAATGATACAATCGATCAACAAAAAAAATCTATCAAGAAATTTTAATCTGTACAAGAAAGAGAGAGAGAGAAAATCTAAAAGTTCTAATCTTTTCAAAACAGAGCTTGCTTTACTCCAGTAAACGGACTAAAATAATTTTAGATCGAGTCGGAGGTCCTGATGAATAATGCGCAACACGCTCGACAGTCATTATGGCAAGAGACGAATTAATTCTGGAAGCTGCATCGCGAGGTTTATTCGCGTTTCAGGCACGACGTCATGCGGTCGATGCTTTGAATGAGGACCATTGTACAGCTCTCTCTCAAAGACCGACAGAACGCAAATATTGTGTTCGGGTAAACGTACACACGACATACATACGTACGACATGCGACGCGATACAATTATGTTAGCAATGAGTGTACGACTCTCCGAACCGAATTTACGTGCCCCGGAAATGCGCGGTCTTTATGCCGAACTTTATCGACCTGGCCTGCTTGGCAGATTTCCCGGTTGATCCTTTCTGATGGCAATTTGTGCGGCTATGTGCGCGTTGCGCATTTAAAATGTTAATCAAAAACAAAAGAGGAACGTCGAAGCGTAGCTCATAAACCGTAATTTACGACCGCTATGTGTCGTTCGCACAAGAGCTTTTTCTTTTTCCTGATTTTCAAAACGAGAAATCTTTTATAGATCTCTTGGCGACTTCACGGCTGTGGTATTTTCTAAAAAAAAAAAAAAGAATCGAGAAGCAAAACAAAGTTACCCTAAATCATGATTTATTGCGAAATCGAAATATTATTGTGATGCAGAACAACGCGAAAATTTTTTACTTCGAATACAGATTTTCATTGGCGCACTAAAAATGTTTTATGGCTGCGTGTGTTGCTAGCCATTTGTGTCACGCATAAAAAAAAAGAGATGGGCACGACTGATAACAACTCCACGCGTATAAAGCCTCGTCACACATTGCGACATGCACGTACATGTGTAGTTTCAAATACGAATGAACCCTGTATGCGAATGCATGCGAAATTTTGTGGAATATTAGCGGTAACGATCTTGCTAATCCGAAAATTCGAAGTTTGTTTGCCACGTCACGTCATTTTCAGAACATGCCGCCTCATGGACGAACGACTTTTCTCTATGTGAAGGTATATATTCGCTTTCAAACTTTTACGAATGAAAATATTGCGATTCCAATATCCGCCTCTCACCGACAGGTTCTAGTCCGTTCTCGGGTAGAAGAAAAGTAAGTTTAATAGTGACGCCATCCCAAACGGCTAAAACGGAAATCTCCGTGAGGGGAAAATTGAGAAAGCGCAGCTTTCAACGAGGAGCGAAGTAACAAAGTTAATTGCCTTTTGTTGCGACAGCTTGGCAAGGCCAACGAAATTGAACGAGTATGAGCGCGAGACACAATACTGTTTTATATGTTTATCATGACAGAAATTGCACTTTAATTTTTTTCTATTTTTTTAATTGATTTTTTCGTATCTCGCACAAAATTGTAGCGATGTATTGTTAAATGATTTACTTGTATTTTCGAATACAAATGAGTATGAGCTTTTATAAAGAAATGAATTACTATAAACCAGGCTTCCCAAAAATGTCTTTTCAAAAATGTTATCATTAAGTATAGATCAAACCGTTGACCTGAAGTGAAATGTGAAGCGGATAAGGTTTAATGTCCTACATTGTCGTCGAGACGAATTCGTATACAGTGCGACCATTGGGGCGTATTATCGCAGACGTTATATCGATCGTGATGTTCGTTCTAGAGAAAAACGAGAAATTGTCAGGAGATTACATATGATGACACGCAGAATACGTGCCATAAATCCTAGGAAGGCAATATGTATTCATTTTCAAATAATGCGCACACAATGGTCATTATTTCTATTTCTGTTAGACAGATGTTAGATAAGTCAACAATTTATTTATGGAAATTATAAATATTAATAAATGTCACAATTTTTTTTTTAAACATCACCGTAATTCTGAATCTAAAACAGATTATAAATACAATATATTGCATAATTTTGGCGCTCTTCTAAAAATCACGTGCGACGCCGACATCAAACAATGTCTGTTCTTATGCGTGTTTCAACTATCAATACTGAACAAGTAAATGTGAAATAAGATAAAAAGAAAAAGGGAAAGAATCAAAGGTTGAAGGTAAAATTAAAATGGATGTATGTTCTCGATGGAATAAAGAGCGTGATAGAAATTTCATTTCGGACGTGTTTTTGACAGTGCGTGA